CAGGAACACCCAGTGAGACACAGAATTTAGAATATTTCCCCTTAAAGTGTTGGCTGCTAAAAATCATTGCAGCCCCTGGAGAGGCCAAGGGATGTGGGCTCCTGCAAATGGCCTTGGTCGCCTTGTGATGACACAGCCCTCTGGGAACAGAGCTCAGAGCACCAATCCCTGCCTTTCCCACCACAATTTTCTCTACATTTACAAGCAAAATTCAGCCAAAGACACTGCTATTGGAAAACCAGAGAGACATGATGGTGCCTCGTGCTGGTTTTACCTCCATAACCAATTTTACCCTTCAGAGAACACGACCATAACCAGATTTCTCCACCCCTGAACAGCACATGGGGAACCAGCACTGAAATCTGGCACACTTGGCTGTACAAGGCACCCTGGAGTTGGGAATCAGCCTCTTCTCAGACCCAGAGATTGTCATCACAACACACAGCACACCCACCCACCCCACCTCAGCCTGCTTTTGGGATCAGAAAGGCAAGTTCCTTTCATCCAAGCCACCACCAAAGCCCACCAAACACTCAATAAAAAATCATCCCACTAAATTTAATCACGGCAAAGACACGACCCCCATCCTACTTTGATTGATTCCAGTACATTGACCACAACATTGGTTATTTGCTGGTTTGGTGTTTACCTTTCCATCATTATTTCTGCTCCTTTGGAAACAGCTCAAGGTGAATTCCTGGGCCACGGGTACTGAGAGATCCCAGGCTCTCCTGGGAGGTGCCTTTTTATACCCAAGCTGGTGGCTGAGTTAAGTCCTATTTTTAGCAGCCATTCAGGTAGGAGAGCGGCCAAAACTTCCGCCTGGGATCCTCGCTATCACCACCCTCGTGGTGGAGATCAGAGGGCGTGAGTTTCACTGGAAGGGAAAACAATTTCCTTATGACAAGTAGCAGCAAAACAACATAAAATCACCTGTCACCTGGTGTAAGCACTGCCCTTTGAGACCAGCTATCTCAGGCAGCTGTTTGCCTTTGGGTTTGGTTTGGTTTCTTGTTTTTTACTGGGTGTGATGCCTGAAATGGGCTCTTCTGGGTTGTGTTTGTGAGGGGAATTAAAACTTTCTCGGATGAGCAGGGTTTCAGTGCAGGATGCAGAGTGTCCTGCTCACATCCCTGGAGCTCCCTGGTGGCTCCTGGGGGGCCACAGAACTTTGGGACACTCTTGCACAACCCTGGGCACAGTTTGTCTGAAACATCCCTGAAACCCACCCTGGGTTCAGACAGCCCGTGCTTCCACCCTAAAACACGAACCAGCTCTTGCCCCAAATCCTTCCCACTCCCGTGGCTCCCACTCAGCCTCACCCAAGGATGGAAAATCTCCCACCGGGCAGATCTGCCCAGCCCAACACCTACAAACTGCACCCGGGCCGAGCAGATGTGGCACCAAAGCTCCGTTTGGCCACCCCAGTGCCCCTCCTGTGGCTGTGGCATCCGGCAGGTGCTTCCCACTATTCCCCATCGCTGCTTTGCCATCTGATGGCAAAATTCCGCACTGCAGCTCGCAGGGATGGGCCGGAGCGGGCGGCAGCCGCAGACACGCAGGCTTTGGAAAAACCCTTTCTGGAAAACCCCTCGGGAAGATTTCCACCAGAGCAGCGCTATTTTCAGCTGGAATGATCTTCAGCCAAGGCGTCTCCTGGATAATTTTTTTTTTTTTTTCTGATACAGAGTTCACCTTGCAATCAGGACTGTTTTATTTCTCTTTCTATAAACTCTCTATGCCATGATTTCCTGTGACTGAAAGGGATCCAGACATGTCCCTTCATTTTTCCTGAGCCCATACGGCTGAATCAGTGTCAGGTATTGATTAGGAATTACCTGGCTCAGTTTTTCAGCACCCCCATCGATTGATAAATGGGTGAGGAGGAGCTTCCAGGCTGCTTCCCAGCTCATGCCCGCATCCTTCCACAAGCAAGTCGATTCCAGAGGATGAGGAGGAGTTTCACAATCTATTTTGTTCAATAAAACAAAAAGCCACATCCACTCGGGGCCAGTTTGGAGATTTTTCTAATGGTGATTCCCCAAGGCTGAGTCCAAACACCATCCCTGCTCATGATTCCACTGGGAATCAGAATTGATGTCTGGCCTCTTCCAGACACAGCCAGAAGATGGGAGAGCCAAATTCCAGGAGAAATCTTCACCTGAAATGTGTTTCAGGACTGAGACCTTTATCCAAGCTCAGATCACTCCTGGGATTTGGGACATATTCAAACCTAAAGGGAGAGAGGCACAAGAAAAAGATACAGGAGACTGAGATAAAGCAAAATCCCATTACCAGAGTGGGGGCAAGAGATCTGGACCCAAACTTTTCATCCACTTTTCTTATCAGTGCTGGGAGAGAACAAGGGAGCTGGCAGCAAATGCAGCTGTGAGGGGGGAGCACCCAGTGCTGGGGTTGGCATCTTCAGGCCAGTGACACTGGGGGGAAAAGCAGAACTAAACCCATGGAAGCACAGCAGGGGATAAGCGGCTTCTGTGCCGGAAATTGCTTCAGAAGACAGAAAAAAAAACAAGGGAGAGGCATTCCCCACGTGGAGCTGCAAGGGGCAGAGGGCAACAACAGGTTCAGAAGGCAGGTGTCAAAGCACCTGAATTCCTTGGGAAGACACAGGCTGAGACTGGACATCAGGGAAGCTCTCCTCTGCAGGAGGCTGGGACAAGCTCAAATGGGTGTCTAGAGGGGTTGGGAATCATCCCCCTTGGAGGCCTTCTAGGCTTGGCCAGACAAAGCCACAGCCAACCTAACCTGGTGGAGGAGGCCACTGTGTTTTATGTTGACCACAAAGGTCCCTTTGAGCCATCATCCAGCCACGAGCCATCAACCAGTCACCTGGGCACAGAGCCACAGCAGCTGCAGATCTGATCCACGGTGGGGATGTGGAGGGAAGAACCTGAGCCATGGTGGGGGTGTGGAGGGAAGAACCTGAGCCATGGTGGGGATGTGGAGGGAAGAACCTGAGCCATGGTGGGGATGTGGAGGGAAGAACCTGAGCCATGGTGGGGATGTGGAGGGCAGCTGCTGCTCCCTGCCCCAGCCAGCACATGGCCTCAGTGGAAACCTCTCAGCCCAGTTCTGCAGTTCCTCTGATCCAAGAGGGTGGTGGGCACCAGCCCCCAAAGTAAATCTTTTCCTCCAGCCCTGGGTGTGGTTTTAGCTGCTTCCCTCCACAGATGAGCAATGTGCAATGCCCTACACCAAACACCAGCAGATGTGGGGCTGCTGAAGGGTGGCTGATGTTCTCCAGGGAATGAAGCACCTGGAAACCTCTGGGAAAGCCCACATGAGGCACCTGTCCGTGTTTCACAGCCTCTGAACTCCAGCCATGCCAAAAGTCACCAACAACCATGTGCTGTCCCTCCCCACACCCCCACAGCAAACTCTCTGGCACAAGCAGTGGTTGTTTTGTTGTTTACTGACAGGGATGGGTTCCTGTTCCAGGAAAGCTGCAGGTTTACAGCCCTCCTGCCTCTGTTTGTCACAGGCAAAGACAGGTATTTATTTCTCCAGGAGGTACATGAAAGCTTCCTAGGAGCGTGGACAAAGCTCATCATTCCAACCCATCCTTGCAAAGGTGTCCTTGGATTGTCACTCCCCAAGACCCCTCTAGAGCTGCTCAGGGAGGCACAAGGGGGGGTTGAGGGCTTTTGGCAGCTTCCCAGCCAGGAAAGGAAAGCCCCAGCCAAGCCCAGAGTGATCTTTAGTCATCACGGGAAAAGCAGGTGAAGAGAGGTCACCTCGCACACTCCCTGTGAGCACAGCACAAGAGCCAGGGCCACCAACTGTCACCTGCTCCAACAAAACAAGCACAGCTGGAAGAAGCAGTGGGATCCTCAGGAGCCATCAGGGCTGGTTCTGTTGCAAGAAGGTGGAGTGGAAAGAGGAGATCAGGAAAAGTGCGCCCACGGGTGCATATCCCAGGAGTGGCAGAGGGCCCGGACGTTTCAGCTCCCAAGGAAGGAGATCTGCTGTCCTGTGGGTCTCAGATTCAGTCAAAGAGAGAGAGTTTCTAGCCAGGCAGAAGCCTGGGAAAGAGCTGGAGAAGAATGTAAATAATTCTTTATCTCTCTTGTTGTTCACATTGTTTATAGTTAAGTTCTGTCACTGTGCATCAAGCACTGTGCACCAACGCCGAGCATTGTTTGCACTTCAGGACCAATGGAGTTGGTCCTCACAAAGCTCTGTATAAAAGAGCAGTGTATTTTGAATAAACCGGAGTTTTACTCTCAGCAGCCTTCTGAGTCAAAGTCTTCTCATTCCCGTCCTGTCTCAACAGCAACACTGTCCCACCAAAGCTGAAGCATTTCACCCTGAGAATGATTTGGTTTGACTCTTCCCTGGGACAAAAAGCATCCTTTGTGGAGGGAAGGGTGAGGTTTGGGTGCTTCACTGCACCTTCCTACTGTGGAGCATTCCCAGGCTGTGGCTGGGTGGATGCTGGGTAACCTTTAGCCCCCTCTCTTAGCAGGGACTGTGGCCTCCCTTCCTAGCCAGGACCTCCCCAGGCTGTCACCTCACACTCATTTGCTCCTCATTCCCTTCTCCTCCACCACTGAAATTTTCAAGCAGCTCTGTTCTGCCGATGAGCTGGTGATTTTTTCTGGAGGTGAATCTCCTCAGCCAGTTTTCCAGAGATGTTGCACTGCTGAAGCTTTGCCATCCAGCCACCACCCATCCCACCACTGTCTCTTCCTGGTTGCTGTCCACTTAGCACCTCCAGGCTGCAGATGTGAAGCAGTTTTGCAGGACCAAGACCAGTTTCAGCCAAAGGGACTGTAGTTTCAGGTTGGCAGTAACCAGTTTTGGTGGAAACCTCATGGTGCAACCACCTGTTTGTGCTGTGCTCACCCATCAGCTGCTGAGCATCTCAGACTGGTGCCAAAAAATGTTGGGGATGAGATCTGGGGGCCCAGAGGAGCTGGTTTTAAATGAGGAAAGCTTGGATTTCCCACTTTCAGACCTTCAAACAGCAAGAAGTGAGATTTTTCAATCTTACAGTCACAGCATTTTATTTCCTCTGTGGAAAGTAAAGTGAAAATAGTAGTGGGTGTTTTCTGTTTTCACACACACACACACACACAGACACTCTGTTCACTTCAGATATTCCTGCTTCAAACTCAAAACAAATAATTACATATCTGACCATGGGTGGGGTCATATTTGTTACTGGCTTTGTTTCTTTTCACATTATTTAATCACAAAATTAATTACAAAAGTTATTATCTTTTATAAGGAAAGGAGTTAAAGTGAATCCCAGCTATGGGCAGCCATGGAGTTTCAGCCAGGCCTGATCCAGGCAGGTATTTCAGCACACTCCTAACCTAAATCCCAGGAACGGGCTCAGAGGGGACAGGGATTGCAGCACGCACCACGTTTGCGCTGTGCCCTCGCTCCCAGCTGGGGACAGCTCTCACTGCCCAAGCAGAGCAGCAGTGCTCAGCCCAGAGCTCCTGCTCTGCTCTGCTCATCTCCCTGCAAGAACAGAGGGATCTTTTCCACAGGTTTGGACCTTAAAGACAAGCATCAACATTTCAGAGCAAACTTTTCACATTACCTCCTGAAGGGCAGGAGAGGAACCAGCAGAAGACCGGCCAACACATCCCCCTGTGCTTTTGGGGCTGGGGGACAGCTTCTGGGTGTGTTTTGCTAATGAAGCCCCAGAGATGCCCCAGCTTTGGCTCACAGCAGGCTTTGAAATCCAGGCCAGCTCTGTGGCCTTCTGTCCAGGAGAGGCAGGAGACACCAGCACTGCCCAGCAAAGCACAAGTGTTCCTGTGTGCACTGAAGTGAAGCCTCCAAAGATTTACTATGGTGAAACCTCCACTGGGTCTTCCTTCAAATCTTCATGATCCTCATTCTCCAGCTGCTCCAGTTTGCTGGATTTCTCATGGACAACCTCCCCAGGAGTCTTCAAAAACCTGAAATACATTTTTGTGATGACTTTAGGGCACGTCCAAACCCAGCCCCAAAACAAAGGGGAGCCTTTGCCTTTGCATGGATGCAAATGCTGGAGCTTATGCCCTCAACAAGGCCAGGCTCAATGGGGCTTGGAGCAACCTGGGAGAGTAGAAAGTGTCCCTGCCCATGGCAGGGGTGGAATGAGATGAGCTTTAAGGTCCCTTCCAACACAAACCCTTCCACGAGTCTGTGATCAGCTGAGCTCTGCAGTTCAGAGGGGATTTGCCATCCCTGGGCTTTGCTGAGGATCCCAGGAAGCGCTGAGCTCCCAGCTGGCACAGGACAGAGCCTGGGCACAAACCCACTGGGGAATGTGCAGGGCAGGATGTTGCTGGATGAAGCAGCTGCCAACATCTGGAGCTCATCACTTTTCCATGCCCCATCTATGCCGTCCCAGGCAGCTCATTTTTCTCTTTTGCTTCATCTCACCTGAACAACAGCTTCTGCCCTGGCTCCTTTTTGATGATGTTGAGTTTGTAGTAGTGTCTGAGCGCTCGTGACATCTTCTCATAGGTCATGTTCATCCGGTTCTGGAAGGAGAAAAGGATTGTGGGGTGTTGAGCAAAAGTGAGCAACACTTGTTCTGGGTCTGTGTGCAGCAGGGCCACACATGGGACACCTGAGGATGTTTGGGGCATTGTGGGTCTGCAGTGGGGCTCCCTAACCCAGACTGGCTTCATGGTTTGCTTTCCAAGGGATGAGAAAGTCCCACTTTAACCACCAGGCTGGCATCTCCCACTAACCCTGCACATCCCGTGTCCCCCTCCCCAGCCCCTGGGCCATCAGCTCTAGGGAACAGCTCATGAAAGGGACACAAATTCCTTTTCAGGGACAACAAATTCCTTCTCAGGAACAACAAATTCCTTCTCAGGGACTACAAATTCCTTCTCAGGGATGACAAATTCCTTCTCAGGGATGACAAATTCCTTCTCAGGGACGACAAATTCCTTCTCAGGGACGACAAATTCCCTCTCAGGGATGACAAATTCCCTCTCAGTTGCATTCACCTTGTGGTTGCCCCAGAGCTGGGCAAGCCCGTTGGGGTTGACGACACGGAAGACTTTGGCCTCCCTGTCCTCCCACCTGATGTAGGGCTCGTAGCGGCGGTCGGCCAGCAGCTGGTACACGTATTCCCACAGCAGCCTGCAGTCTGAGCAGGGGGAAATGCTGGTCACAGAGCTGCCCCTGTGCTCCAGCCAGGCTGGCCAGGCAGCAGGATTGCACATTTAGCAACAATAATAAATATGAGAAGAAGCCAGAGCTCAGGCACGGAGCTTTTACTGCGAGATCGCAGAGCAATTATAATTTTTCAGGCGGGGAAACTGAGGTGGAAAAGCATGGAGTGAGGGGAAGGGAGACAGATGGGCAGACAGGACAAAGCACCATCTCATTTCCCCAAGGAACAAGGCTATAAATTCATAATTACCTGCAATTTTCCCATCCACTGGGGCCGACAGGGTAGCAGGAAAAGAGCAGATGGCACCTGGCCTGCAGCTACTCCCTGAGCTGTGGTGGGAGAGGTTCAGTGGTTTTGTGTGGCTGTGGAACAGGGGCTGCTCTGCACAGCCCAGCCACGAGGAAACAACTGGGGCAGCCTCAGCACTGCAGTCTGCACCTGCAAAAAAAACACCCTAATAAGCACCCTGTGGCTCATTAGGGTCCCAGACTGTGCAAAGCTCTGTAAAAGGAGGGGAGGGACAGCCTGGGGTGGATATCAGCCTGGGACCAGCCCAGCAGAGGAGGAGGGTGCTGAGGAAAAACCTGGGATTTTCCTACAGCTGGAGCAGCAAAAAGTCCAGGGGGGTTAGATGAGATACCAGGTAGGGTAAGGGTCAGAAAAACTGGCCTAGGAAAATGCCCCAGAGCCCAGGCACCCCCTGGTAAATTGTTGTGGGGACTTAATATGTTAATTACCTTGCACATGAACCAGCAGAAGAGCCCAGGAAAGTGCTCCCAGATCCACCTCCACACACATCCAGCCTCTGACACCAATCCAGCCCCACCCTAACTCCTACCTGGGCTCCCCAAGGGCACAAAGAAGCCTCACTGGCCCCCACCAACCTCACCTGGGCCCTCTCCCCACCCCACCCACTGACCCAGAAGCTCTGTGTAAGCTCAGCCCCAGTTCCTCAGCCCTTTCCCAGCTATGTTGCAGGACTAGTCTCCAGCAGGGCTCTGCCTCTGCATGGCTTTGACCATCCCTGATCCAAATCTTAATGTGCAGGCAGACTTCTTAGGGAAGTCATAGCCTTTGCCAGAGACCCCCACAGCGCTGGTTCTGACCTGCTGCATCACTACAAACTTCCCAGGTGACCTGGACTTTGCTGAGCTTGGTTGCCTCTCTCAGGTGGTGTGGGATGGTTTCAGCAGGCTGAGCTGCAAGCCCCAGGCAGGTTCTCCCTGCTGGACACTGCCATTCTCCCAGGGTGTTTTTCTCCCATCATACCTTCCTCTGTGCTCCTGGCTTTCCTGAAGGGTGAGCTCAGCAAGGGGCTGCACACCAGAGCTCTTCTCTGCGTTTTAATGAACTGGAGTATCTCATAAAGCACATCTCCTGCAGGGAAGGAAACTCTGCTCAGATGACTTTGGATAATGATCCCTCTCAGGTAGTGCTGCTGAGATTCTGAACTACACAGTACGGGGTTTGTAAGAATCTGCGGTATTGATGATTCTGAGATTGTAGAAAGTCTCTGTCTGTCAGCCCCGCTGCCAAAGCAGAAGCCATAATTGGTCTGTGCTGTTTTCAAGGCTGTTTATTCTGTTTATCTCTCACATGTTCTGCTGCCCTGCCGCAGCTCTGTCCTGCAGGGCAGCGTGTGGGGCTCTGCCCTCAGTGGGATGGTACAAACATTAAATACCACAAACTACCTGTGCTGGATTTACAATAACGTGCCAATATCTGTCACCTACGTTGGACAGTGTGTCCCCAGCCTGAACCAACAGAAAAATGCCAACACCACAGTGAAACATGGAGGGCATGAAGAAGGAGAAAAAGGACAAGGCACACCCAATTTCCTCCATCTTATCCCCTTTGGATCCCTTAACTAGAATCCTAAAATTTTACTTTTGCACCCGTGCCACACTTAATGATTACTTATATCAAACACTCAGAGCTGGTAATTCATCCTGTAAGATTGAAAACTCTTTTCCATGGACAGAGATCACAGCCAGTGTCTCTGGGGGCTCTGTCCAGGGGGGTTCCTGACCCCTGCCAGGGTCCCAGGCCTGCCAGGGCAGCCAGAGGGAAGCTCTGGATTCCCACAGGGGTTATTCCCCATCCCAAAGTATTTGAAGTTCAGATGGACCAGAGAAAGGAAGAGCTGTCCTCATCTCCAGCACAAGACCCAGGCTGCTGGGAGCCATCGAGCCCTCCCAGCAGAGCACACCTTGTGCTGGGGTGATGCTCACAAACCCCTGGCTCTAACCTGAGCTGGGAGCTCGGTGTCTGAAGTCATCCTTGGTGAGGATGCACAAGGCTTTGCCGTTCATTTCAAACTTGCTCTCATCAGCGGGCCGCAGGGAATATTCCTTCTCAGCCCACCGCAGCCAGTGGATCACATCATCCCTGCTCCACAGCGAGGGCTGGATTCCTGAAACCAGGAGCAGCCTCTGAAACAACTGTTCTCAAAACTGCTGAGTGGCAGGGTGGAGCTTCTTGTCCATCACCAAACTTTCCCTCTATATTAAGCATTCACGAGTCAAAAACACCACAAAGAGAGAAAATGAACCCTGACAAAGCCGTGTCCCCCTTGCCAGCAGGGAATGGTCCCTGGGGGGACACCATGGCTGTACCCACCCTGTCCCACCCCATGGGAACTCTTTTTTGAGCAGCACTGGACTGCTTAACCTCTACTCACTCAGCCTCCCTGGAAGCCTGAAGATCTGCTCAGTGCTGATGGGCGAGGGTCTGGCCTGGGCTGGGGGTGGTGAGGACGCTGCCACCACGGGGCTGGAAGAGCTGATGGCCACTTTGCCCTGGGGAAGAGATCAGATACATCAGTGGGGGGAAATTCTAGTCCTGCCTTTGCTTTGGAGGTGCCTCCACCTGCCCCAGTATTTCCTAACTGGGAATTTCTCATAGCAGTGTGATGTGGTGTGATGTGTGTTGTTTTTGTATTAAGGACGCATGAATGAAGTGATATAAACCCTTAGGTTTTTAGAAGGTAAATGTAAATTTTATTAGACACTATATATTCTTTTATAGATAGCTATGATAAAGTTGGACTTGATTGGTCTTTAATTCTCTTTATACTATTGGTTAATTAGAAATAACACCCTTCTTGTAAATATAAGTAAATAATATGTTTAAGACACTACTTGTAAAGATTAAGGGTTGTTTTAATTCTTCCTCTGAGCTTTCTCAAACTTCCCAGAGTAATGCTTGGGAAAGTTTATCTGACTCTTTCTCTGATTGGACTTTCAGCAACCACAGACATGATGTGCTATCTACAGCTCTTCCTCACACTTCTCCTCATCCCAACCCCAGGATGAATCCCTGGTTGCCAAGAGATGTCAGGTTGCCTCTCTTTCTCCAGCTCTTTAGCAGAGGAACCTTCAGGGAAGTAGAAGATGGAGCTAAGACTGGCTGAGCCTGCAGTGCCTGTGCTCCTGCAGGACCCTCTGATGTTCAATGGATACTCAAGGTTTTAGGAGAGCACTTTGGTTCTTTAGAGCTGTGAAAATAAAGCTGGCAACAGTGCTTTGATTTTGTCTTGAAAACACCATGTGGAGAGAGATCTCCCACTCTGTCCCCGGTGATCATTTGGGCATAAGTGGAAATGGCTATCCCATGGTTTAGGGTTGCTCACTCTCCATAGAGTTCTGGCCCCTCAAGAATTATTTTTCCCCTTCAGCCAGGGCATGTGAGCCAGAAGGAAGCTCAGATCCTGCTTCCAGCCACATCTAGATCTTGAAATATTACTGGCAGCCAAGCAGATAATGTTTCCCCTTAAAAACCTATTAGTGTGAATCCCAGCAATTTCTCAGCTTCACTCACCAGAAAATTAACAATTTTGCTGTCAAATAGTATTTTCTGAAGCAGTTACCAAATCTGAGCACTTCAGGCTCAGGCAGGCTTTTGCAGGTGATTTAGAGCAGCCACCCCTTGAATGTGTGTGCGGGCAGAGGAGTTGAGCCCTCTGAAAATGAGGGGTGAGGAGATGGGAGCTGGACACATCTTAAGTGCAAAGCTGAAGCTCCCAAAATCAGAACAGGCGACAGGAGCAATACAGTGCATCAGTCCAGGGAAAAATGCTTCCCTGGGAATTACAGCAGGATGGAGGCATCAGGCTGGCAAGGGGGTTTCTTCAGCAGAAGGACAATTTGGTGGTCACTGGGTTGGACTGAAAAATCAGGCAGCTACATGACACTGCGTGAGGACAACAGTGAGACTCCAGAATAAACTCTGAGCAGGCTTGGCAGCAATGCAAACTATCTTTCAGATTCACTCTAAGCAATAAGATATGGGGAAAATAAAAGTGAAAGAAATTAGCAGTGTATTTTGTCTAGAACTCTCTAAAAGTTACTTTAATTTTCTCCCAACGATGTGACTTTCTTACAAAAGAGATTTACAGTAAGACCAGAAAAAAAAGGTATTTTTCTTGTTCTTAAAGATTTCTAGGCCTTGAGATACATTCTGAATTCTTATGTTATACTAATTTTATGTTCTTGATTTTATCCCTGCTTAGCTACTTTCAGACTTTTCTGAGATGGCTTTTCTTTGCTTCACGGGGCAATACTATCCTTGGGGGTGTTTGAGTGGGAAAGTGAGAAGAAGTAGGGTTTAAAGAAAGCCCCAGATGTGTGAGAGCAGCTGTTTGCTCAGAGCCGAATGGGGGAACAGAGGCTCCCGGCTGCTCCGGCCTTTGTGAGGCCGTTTGGAGGCGGGTAGGGGGTCACCCCCCGGGGCAGGAACTTCCAGCTCGAACTGAGGAGGAGAAATCCCGAGAGGGGACGGGGAGGAGGGAGGACAAGGGCCCGGCCCGGGCTCCTACCTGCATGGCCGGTGGCCGTGGGCCGGTGCGAGCGGAGCCCGGCGCTGCCGCGGGGTCGGGAGCGCTCCGCGGGCGCGATCCTGGCGGAAAACGAAATCGAAACGAGCCGGAGCCCCGGGCGGCCGGAGAGAGCGCCGGGGGCAGCGCCCGGGGCCGGGTCGTGCTCCCCCCGCCCCCGCCGGGGCCGTGACCCCGCGGCTCGCCCCGCTCCGCCGGTACCGGGATAGCTCCGGGAGCCTCCCCGGGCCCCGCGGCTCCTCCCGGGAGCCGGTACCGGGACAGCACCGCGATGCTCCCGGGGCCCCGCGGCTCGTCCCGCTCCGCCGGTACCGGCACAGCACCGCGATGCTCCCGGGGCCCCGCGGCTCGTCCCGCTCCGCCGGTACCGGCACAGCACCGCGATGCTCCCGGGGCCCCGCGGCTCGCCCCGCTCCGCCGGTACCGGCACAGCACCGCGATGCTCCCGGAGCCCCGCGGGCGGAGGACGAAACGATCCCGGGACACGCCGGGCGCAGCTCCAGCACCGGGGCTCGTCCTTTCTCTCCGCCAGGCGCGGCCGGGGCCGGGGGAAAGGGGGAAAGAGGGAAAGCTGCGCACCGGTCCCGGAGCAACGGGAGGTGGGAGCACACCTGGAGGGAGCCCACCTGCCCCGCGCACACCCTGGGATGTGTGGACACTCACGCTGTGGGCCTCTACGGGGAACTGGGAGGGGCTGGGATGGGCTTTGAAGGGACTGGGAGGGACAAAAAGTACTCTTTTAAGGAAAAAGGGGCACTGGGAGGGGACTGGGAGTGACTGGGGTGGGTAATGGGATAGACTGGGATGAGCTGGGAGTGACTGGAATAGATTTGGAAGGCACTAGGATAGACTGAGATGAGCTGGGAGTGACTGGAATAGATTTGGAAGGCACTGGGATAGACTGGGATGAGCTGGGAGTGAATGGAATAGACTTGGAGGGAATTAAATGAGATTTGGGAGGGATTGGACAGGACTGGGAAGGACTATGGGACACTTCAATAGACAAAAAGGGTGCTGGGGGTGGACTGTTAAAGCACTGGGATAGACTGGGAGGTACAAGACGAGTACTTTTAGGAACAAAACGGGCACTAGAAGAGCTCTGGGAACCACTGGAGGGCACCGGCATAAACTGAGATATAGGAGGATGGACTGGGAGGGGACTGGGATGGAGTGGAAGGGAGTGGATGGGACTGGGAGGTGCTTTTAGGGACAAAAAGGGGCTGTGGGAGGGGACTGGGCCGGGCCGGGCTGGGCCGGGCTGGGCTGGGCGGGCTCCGCCCCCCGCGGGCACGGACCGTTTGCGCCCCGCCCCCTCATGCTCTCTCGGTTCCCATTGGCCAATTTTGGACGCCAATCACGGAGCTGGCCCAATCGCGTGGCGGCGTGGGCGGCGGGCGGGGCTCAGAGGCGGGGCCCCGCCCACCGCCCGCCTGAGGGAGCGGCCGCGGCGGGGACGCGGTGAGTGCGGCCTGGGCGGGCGGGGGGTGGCCGCGGGCCCTGCGGGGCCTTGGGGACCCCTTCCCGCTCTCCTCTGAGCTTCGGGGGGTCTTCTCCGTGCTCTCGGTGCTTTGAGGGCGGTTACGGGCCTGGCGGCGCCCGCAGCGCGCTCTGTGCCCGGAAAAGGGGGTTGGGGGGGGCTTTCCTGGCCCAGCGGGCATAGAGGAGAGTGCGGGGCCGAGAGGGGCCTGGGGGGCACAGGAAAGGTGGCGGTGGGGGCTGAGGGGCTCGCTGGGGGTCACGGGGGCTCCGTTGTTGTGAGTGGGCTTTGGAGGGGGTTGGGGGGTATCTGGGGATCACAGGGGACATGGAAGAGTGTCGGGGGACATGGATGAGGGGGCTGGGGGGGGGTCTGGCCGTCAAAGGGGTTGTGGGGCTGAGGGGGTGTTTGGGGGTCACGGGGGATGTGCTGGAGTGGGCTGTGGGGCTGAGGGGGTGTCTGGGGGTCACAGAGGATGTGCTGGAGTGGGCTGTGGGGCTGAGGGAGTGTTTGGGGGTCATGGGGGATGTGCTGGGGTGGGCTGTGGGGCTGAGGGAGTGTTTGGGGGTCACACAGGATGTGTTGGAGTGGGCTGTGGGGCTGAGAGGGTGTCTGGGGGTCACACAGGATGTGCTGGAGTGGGCTGTGGGGCTGAGGGGGTGTCTGGGGGTCACACAGGATGTGCTGGAGTGGGCTGTGGGGCTGAGGGGGTGTCTGGGGGTCACAGAGGATGTGCTGGAGTGGGCTGTGGGGCTGAGGGAGTGTTTGGGGGTCACGGGGGATGTGCTGGAGTGGGCTGTGGGGCTGTCTGGGGGTCACAGTGGACTCTGTTGTTGTGAATGTGCTTTGGAGAGGCTGGGGAGCTTTGGGGGCTGCTCTGAAGGTGTTTGGAGACAGCACCTTGTGTGCGCTGACGGGGCCATCTGTGAGGGTGGGGATGCTGCCACCTTTGTAGTGTTTGCTTGCCAAGGGGGTCTTTGGAGTGTCTCCTGCACTCTGTGTTTGCTGAGGGGCTGGGACTGTTATCCCTAGGTTAGCACGGCTGCCTCGTGTCCCTGCCTCGTGTCCCTGGGCTGTGTGTGAGGCGGGACTGTGCCCAGTGCTGTGCCCACCACCCCCAGAGTGGAACTAGCCTCCCCCTGGGGTGCTGCTTGGTCACACACCACCCTCCTACACGTGTTGTGAGGCTGTAGGCTGATGCAGCGTTAGTCTTAAACATGTTTTTAGGCTTGAGCTTCCTTTCCTCCCTCCTTTCTTGCCCCATTGTGCTTTGAAAGGAGCAGGAGTTGTTAAGGAGTTTGTGTTGTCAGCTGTGATCCTTCCTGTCTCTGTTCTGCCATATTAGTGATCTGAGGCCCTTCAGGGCAGGGATGATAATAATGCAAACAGTCTTGGGTATGAAGTTTAATAGGACCAAGGTCCAGGTGCTGCCTCAGGGTCAGGTCAACCTCCAGTATCAATCCAGGCTGGGAATGAAGAGCTGGAGAACGGCCCTGGTAGAAGGAATTGGGGAAGAGTTGCTTGGACATTCCCAAATGGCATGGACTGGTCACATGTGTTGGACCCAGAGCCCCCAGAGCCCTGGGCTGATCCCCCAGTGTGGGCAGCATTGGAGGGGGGGATTCTCCTGCTCTGCTCTGCTCAGGTGAGACTCCACCTGCAGAGCTGCCTCCAGCCCTGGGGTCCAGCACAGGCAGGACATGAAGCTGTTGGAGGAGACCACTGATGATCAAAGGGTTGGAGCAGCTCTGCTGTGAGGAAAGGCTGAGACTTGGGATTGTTCAGGCTGGAAAAGAGAATGTTTGGGGTGTCTGTATTGTGGCCTTCCAGGAGCTGAAGAAAGCCTGCAGAAAGATGGAGAAAAGCTGTTAGAAGGGCCTGGAGTAACAGGACAAGGGGGAAGGGCTTCGCCCTGACAGTAGATTCAGATGGGATATTGGGAAAAAATTCTTCCCTGTGAGGGTGGTGAGGCCCTGGCACAGGGTGCCCAGAGAAACTGTGGCTGCCCCTGGATCCCTGGAAGTGTCCAAGGCCAGGCTGGATGGGGCTTGGAGCAGCCTGGGCTAGTGGAAGGTGTCCCTGCCATGGCAGGGGCTGGAACAGGATGAGCTTTAAGATCTCTTCCCACTCAAACCATTCTGGGATTCTGTAAACCTGGGAGATTGAGAATCTCTGTAGGGAGAGTGTTTTGAATTGTTTTGCCAGGGTTGCTGCAACCCAAATGGTGTTGTAGCTGTAGATGATGGCTTTAAGGCAGAAAGTTCACCTGTGCTCCCTGTGAGAGCCTTATCCTCACCTCGGTCCCAGTCCTTCCTGCTGGCATTAGCAGCAGTCACACGCAGCTCTTGGAAGGAAGTTGTGTCTGGGAATCAGCGGGGTCCCTGAGCTTTCCCTGTTCGGGTGTGTCCTTGTTTACCCTGTGCAGGGGCTGAGAGGCTGCACTGCTCACAGTCACCTGGCTGTGAGGGTTATAAATACCTCAGTGCTCAGTTCTCAGAAGTGTTTTCAGTGATCTGAGCATCAAAACATTGAATTGTTTGGGTCAGGAGCTGTGGGTTAGTGTGTAGGCACAGCTGCTTGTGAGACTTATTATTTTCCAGACTGGATTTCCATGTGCCTTTATCATTATTCTGTTTAGGGAAGCAGTCACCTTTTGCTAAAATAAATACACTGTTTATAGCATAACTCTGTATTTACATCACTAACAAATGCTCTTCTGCAAAGCAGCCTGTACAACAGTTGTCTTTATTTTCCATAATAACATCCATGTTCTGATCTTACTGCTGAAATGCAGCAGCTTATGTAAACCAGGGGAAGCCTGTGCAGAATTCTGTGTCTAGACTTACTTCACCTTATCTTAAAGCAATTAAGGACAGATTAAAGTAAGTTCTGCTGTCATGAAAATAGGCATGTGCTGATTTGTTGGTGTTTGTTTCATGACAGACTAATTTGCAGCATGTAAAATGCTTTTTGATATCTTTTGATGCTGTCTTGTGCTGCCAGAATTAAAGGGGATGAGTTCTGTGTTTGATTTGGGCTTGAAAGGAATGATCTTTATGGTAGGAGTTCATTGCATCATTTTATTTTGGGGGAGCTTTCTGTTTTGTATTTACTCTGTATAAGTGAGTGGAGTTTAGTGAGCTCAATCAAGCTGCAGGGGCAGCTGAAAGGAGTTGGAGATGAAAGAAGCAAACTGGTTATTTCTATCCTTAACAGTGGTGAGAACCAAGTAGCAAAAGTCATTTGAGCTGTTGGATGTAAAATGCATGTACCTGCAGACAGAGAAAATGGATTTGGGGTTTTCTTGGGGTTGTTAATTTTCTGGAAAGGTTTTGAGACAGTTCTTGGAGTGGCAAGTAAGATAGTAATTCCAGAAGCCTCATCACTGGTTGTGCTAACAGAAATGTATCATCTAAGATCCATCTAGAGTTGTTGGGTGTGTCCAGTATAAAATCACTCTAAGTTACCCTTCCTTTGTTTTCCTGTGCTCTAGAGATTTCCTTACCTGAGCTCTGCACGCCAGTAATCAATATATGCATCCCCAAAGTATTTTTAACCATCAGGCTTGAGAAACTCTCTTACTTCAGCTGATTTGATCATAAATCTGATCTTACCTCAGTCTCTTTGAAGTACCTTCATGTTTTGGCATGCTCAGTCCTGCCTTCTCAGAATCCAAGAGGTTTCATAACCACTTGCTTGCAGTTTTCTGTTCAGGATATTGTAACATTTTTTGTGTGGTGACTCGGTCTGTCTTTACAGGTCACAAGAAGTAAGAATCATCATCTCATTTCATTAGCTGATGCTTTCAGCCCCGAGTTTGGGCCATGCCAGGATGTGTTTGTCA